TGCATTGCTGCATCCTGTCACTAACTGCTCCGTGCAGCACCTACCTCTGAAACATCATCAGTGGGGCGCTGTCATATCCTAAATAAAACATCCTCCTGGATAAACTGATTGGTTTATTTACCTCATACAGCCCTAATACTGAAGCCTTGGGGTCATTTTAATAATGAGAAGTACATTTTGGAGGCATATTACTTAATTTTAGGTGCATTACTTGTCTGTGTGCATTTAGCTTGAGTAGGCATATGAAGTGACTTTCTTCAGAGTGCAATTCCACATTTATTTCTCCTAATGCAAAGTTAGCTTAAGAAACTCCTGTGTTGTTCATGTCCTCTCAGTTATGCTCATACAGCTGATCAGGTGGAGTCCATCAAAAACAAGCAAAAACCCATCCCAAACCATACCAGAACCACTGTCACACTGTTACTGATTTGCCAGGAGATGAAACTGAAATGAGCATGTTCATCACTTTTCCCAAATGCTGAGCAGTAAATAGGGTCACCCTAAAGAAAGAGCACCCAGAATAACTTCTTAACCTTTTTACCCTACTACTTGATGTTCAGAGAAGTTTTCCTTAGATTCCACATAGGCCTTGACAGTTCAGGAATACTTCCAATGTCTTATTAGATGCTGACAGATTATCAGAGTAAGAATTTTCATTTTGCTGTTAGTTTGGTGTTTGGCCTATATGACCTCCCTGGCTTCTATCATCATGGTGGTAAATAGAGGAAATAGTTGGACTGTGACTGGCTTAATATTGGTTGCTGCTTTATATGTGCATGTTGTAAATGCAGTGTGTCTGATAAATGAAAACAAAAGCTTGTAGGAACCACTTTGGATCAATTTGAGGTTTGTCGAGGTAGGGGATGATCACAGAGAAGCAATATTTTAACTATCACTGCAAGGAACAATCTAGAAAAGTGAATCTTTGAATTCAACAGCTGTTGCTTTATTTTAATTCAATAGCTGTTTCTTTATATTGGCCTCAAGCACAACTGGAGGATGCTTTAAACAGATTACTTCTGTGGACTGAAAGAGACAAGAGTTTTAAAATGGAGTTTGACACCTCCAGCCTTTCCTTTGTCAGTAAGGCAATGTTTTCAATTTTATTCAGTCCTCAGCCACATTGTGTGTAATGCCCATGTACTTTCATCCTGTTTTGTCTCCAATTTCTGGCACAAGAAAAAGAATGAAGTTGCTAAAATGTTTTGGCTCTTGTGTTCTAGTCTTTCTCATGCCTCTTATTATGGTACAGGTTGCATGAGTATTTACTTGCATTAAGTATTTCCCACCAAAGTGAAGCAGTGCTTCTTGAGAGGTGCAGAGCAATTTAATGGCAAAGCACTGATTATTTTGCTATGTCTCGTTTTGGAGCAGTGTTTGTCACCTGAGGATTCATGTGCCAAGTGACAAAAAGCTTCTAGCACTCTATGCTGGTACATGAGCTGCATTGCTGAAGTCAAAATGCTAATGAAATACTTTTGATTCTGGGTTTCAGGATCTGGTGTTCTGCCCTTCCTCTTTTTTATTTTGAACTGTACATGGTCATAATCTTAGCAGCAAGCACAGGAGAATAAAAATACACTTGACCTGCAACAGAAGGCTAGTAAGCTCAAGGTCTTTAAGGAGAAGTGAGTTATTTAATGACATCTTGTGTTTGCTTTCTGTATTTCGTATGCTGCAGCTTCTCTGGTCTTCTCTGTTCTCTGTAGGTAATTTCAGACATGCTTCTGACAGTCAGGTTACCTTGTTTTGTTCCCAGACCAGCAGTTTTGAAACAGCAGTATGGAAACAAGTCACTTGTGGAATATGTGGTGAGGCTCCCTGTAATGGAAAGATAAGCCTTGATCGTCCCAGTTGATCCTCGAGCAGTTGCCCTCATTTGGCAAGCTCTTTGAGCTAACCCTGTTTCCTACTGCTATACATCTGGGTCACTGGAAAAATATGTGTTTAGGAGGAATGCATGAGGTAGGCAAACCAGGTTACATCATGCTCAGAGCTTGTCAGGCCATGACTGCTTCCTAGCTTGTCCTGAATCTTGTTCAGGGGAATCCAGGTAACTTGGATATTATTTTCATCCAGTTCATGCTCACTGAGAAGGATCAGGGCTCTTGTAAACTCTTTCGTGTATGTTTATCAGACCAGTGCCAGATGACATCAGGAGGATGTCACTCAAAACACTTGAATAGTCTTTAATTCATTATAGCAGTCATTAAGGGAATCTCTGGAGTCAGTTGCGTGTGGTAGGGGTGGAGTATGCCGCTACTTACATGGCCAATGGCATAAGCCTTGCATTTATAGCTGCATATTGGAGTTCTGGGTCCCTCAAGTGGTACATCAAAACTTGATAGTTGATGGGGGGGGGGAAAGGTGTTCTTGTGCCTTTCTGTTCTGTGTGATACACATTTACACAGGAGCAGCACCACACAAAACCCACGCTGTTTGTTCAGGTACTGCGGATGGCATCAAAACTCAAAAGTGAAGCCTTCATCTCTAAAAACGCAATTGCCTCAAGGTTTTTTGTGTTTGTGTCATGATATTGAATTGGTCCCATTTTTAATAGCATGTAAAATTAGAAATAAAAATGGAGGCGCTGAAAGCAAAGCAAAGATTATATGAACTAGAGAGTAGTTCTGTAGTAGTTCTGTTCTAAAAACTCACTGCTGTGAAGTAGTGTAGACAGGGTTTACTGATCATATGTTTTACTGTTTTACATGCGTCCTTTTGTTTGTATTATGAGAGGATTATAAAATCACTATAATTTAATTTTTACTCATTTTTTTCCTCTAATGTTTCATGTAAATCTTTTTGATACATGAAACATGAATATTTGGATCAAAGTCACCAACCTCAGTAACAGTACTCCGCGAAGTGATTTGTCACCAGTAAGACTTTCCCATCCTCTGAGAGGCAGACATTTAGCATATTCATCAGGTTGTACCTACACTGAAGCAAACAGCATTCATATTCATGTGACTGTTTTCTCTCATGGTTTACAGATTGTCTTACCAGCATAAGCTAACTTTGAATTTTTTAGGACATTTATTTTTGGTATTTTATAACTAAACCTTGAAAGCTCTGACCTAAGAAGAGGCGGTGGATGAATTTTATTGGCTTGAAGTGAGAGTCAGGGAAAGAAGAACTTTCCTTGCTGCAGGAAAAGTGCTAAAATACAAGTGGTTTTGGTTGGTTTTTTTTTTTCCTTGCATATATTTGCACGTCTGTGGAGTTCCAGAGCTGTCTGGTATTTCCTCTGCACTGCTGGTAGTTGTGCCTTCTCATCCATTTCAAAAATTTTCTTCTCCCCAGATTGGTGCCCAGAAGCCTTCCCATTATTGTTCCCAGTTCCTGGGATGGCACTGGGAGAAGCACCAGCATAGGCAGGGTCTTGGAGGCTACTCCTTGTCTATGTTTGGGAAGTATGATAAGACCAGATAGATACAAGTTGGTGGGCCATTGTCATTTGCTTGGTGCTGTGCTATTGCCACTGTCATTTAAGCAATGATATTAAGAAAAGAGCTTTTTTTGTAGGGAAGAACAACATAGGCAGGGCCATGCAAGGTGACTTGGTCTAATAGGAGGTATTGATAAGAGCTATTAAAATGTCCTGAAAATCCAAGCCTTTATTGTCAAATAAGGGCGAGCAGAGTTCTTGAATTCTGAGCCTTTAAAAACACAAAAAGCCAGCAGTTCTCTGCGTATGTATTCAATGTGTGTATTTCTCTGTGTGTTAGCATGTACCAGACTGCTGCTCTTTGCTGTCGCAGGACAGCAGAGCCCTGTGAGAGAAGCACACCTCACTCTGTGCTTGGAGTGGTGGGTCAAGTCACAGTAGAGTAGTATTAAATTGCTGTAGCTAGATGAGGTTTAGGTTCAGGTGTTAAGATGTAGATAGCCAGTGGATCTTCTGACAAGGGCCTCCAGTTGAAGACCTGGGAGCTCTGTGCTGTTTCCATCTGTATAAATTCTCTATGTATTATCTTTCTCTATAGAAAGTTCTAGGTGATAAAATAACAGGCACAGGAGAGATTACTTCTACTTACTTCACTAGCTCTCAAAATAATTTATGCTGAATTAATTGATTTTACCCACTCCCCAACATTAGATGTATTCACAATTCTGGTAGGTTTTGCACTGAAGGCTGCATTAAAATATCAGAAGTCTCTTTAAGACCTGTTTCACTGCTGAAAATTCTCAGTTTTGCAGTTAGGCACTATATGATTATAGTACTTTGACATTTAAGTCCTCTTTGTTCCTTCTTTCCTTTGCTAATGTATAATAAGGTACTTTATTATGTAACAAAGGCTACTTTTGTTGTTTCTCTGTGTTATGTTCACATGAACTTCTAACTTAATCCTAGATATTAAAAATTATACTTGAGACTTTGGTTTTGGCTTGTTCTCTTTTGTATGAATAAGTTCATATGTTTAAGTTGGAAATAACTGGGAGATAGAAATACCTGCAAACAGAATGGTTACAAATTTTAACACTGGCTTACTGTATACAAATGGTTAATATGTATTAATCTCTTAGTAGCTGGGAATTCAGTAAGATCAAAGTAACATTTCTAAAAGATGAAGGTTGTTTGAACTTTTTTGATGTGTTGTTGTTGGGGGCTGAGTTTTGAGCTTTTAAATTTGCACTTCTTGGGTTTTGGCAGGTAAGGGACTAATGAGTTAATAGGCTGTTTTAACTAATTATGCAGATGTTACCTTGAAATACTCTCCTAATGAAAATATTGACTGGGCAGAACAATTATATCCTTGTCTCCATTTATAATCAGAAAATATCTTACATAGGAGACCAGAACAATTAACATGACCTTAAACATAAGTTTGACAAAAGTATGAATGCACAAGTGCAAAGCCTAAATAGTTCCATGGTAAAGATGAGACTTAAAATGTCCACAGCTTTCTCATCTTTTAGGTTTCTCTGAACACTTTGATTATACTTCATGCCTCAAACCTAGTGCTGATTTGTTTTTCTTCTTTATTCTCTTTCAGAAAGATGAGGTGTACCTCAACTTGGTGCTGGACTATGTTCCTGAAACAGTATACAGAGTTGCCAGACATTATAGTCGGGCCAAACAGACACTCCCTATGATTTATGTCAAGGTAGGTAACTTACAGATGTGGTTAGGTGAAGCAAGATAGTACAGAAATACGCTGTGGATACTCTTTTCTGACATAATAGTAAATTTTCAGGAATTTCTAGAAGCAAATAGATCTTGAGGCAAGGAAAAAATTTAGAATTACTTGTTGTTATTGTGAAGGAAGAATAGAGGGTTGAGACTTAAACACTCCCAATTTCTGACCTTACAGAAATCTTGGAATGGGTTGGGGATACCGAGTGTGGGGGGAGTGTTTTGTTTTTGATGCAGCTTGGACGGAGACTGAGACCAGCCAGATTAGCAGCTTTCAGTTTCCTGAGATGGTGAAGACATAAGAGAACAAAGGTCAGGAACTGAAAGAGGATGTCAGGAGGATGTTCTCTAATCTGTTATCTTCCCCTTTTCCTGGCATATGAGTAAGAGTTCATGTGCTTTTGTTGTGGTCATGAAAGGCACATTTTTCTTTCTGCTTGAAGCTCATTGGCTTATGTCTTCAAAAGGGGTAAGGTGCTTGTATGCACATTGTAGTTTCAAAACCTTATTCAAGTTGTATACATCTTTTACACAGGAGTTAAAGTAAATAAAATTTCTCATTTGCTGTCCAACATGGGACCCATCTGGGGCCTCATAGTTCTGTTTCCTATATTGTGGTGAGCACAATCCACACATTAGTGAATGATGATGTTTTCACATGGCATTAACTTGTTAACATGGCACACAGATAATATTTAATGGAAATTACCAACAAAATTTCCTGATGCATATTGACTTCTCCAGACACCTCCTTAAAAGTATAATGCTTAATGTAAGGGCTGGCTTAAGAAAAAACTTCAATTTGGTTGAAAGAAGATGAAAGTTTCGAAGGTGAAAGCTACAAACAGTAATTATTTCAATAATGAAGTTTTGTGCCATAACTACATGCATAAATTGTAAATGGCATGTCTCTGCAATAGGCATTACTTTTACCTGATTTTTAAGAAAGCACAGAAATTTATCATCCAGCAGACTTCAAGGTCACTCCCTTTGGTCTGTTGGTAGAACATCATGTCTTCAGGTTATATGCTTCTCAAAATCTGTAGGCTTGTCTTTTGATAAGTTGTTTATATATCTTTTGTTAGTGTTCTTGCCCTAATTGTTCTCATTGTGGGAACTTGAGAAAATTGTTCTTCCTTACACTTTCAGAGAAAAATCTGCTTCAACTCTTTCATCTTGCAGGATGCCTGAGACTTCCTGTTCCAGGTAGTCTGGAAAGCTATTCTTATTTTTCTGGCAAGGCTTTTATATAATCCTGTATATAAAAAGATCATGTTGCCTTAATGTCATTAAAGATTTTGCAATTTTCCAGGCATCTTGGCTACACAAAGGTCAGATCATACCTATTTGTTCACTTCTGATGGATAATTATGCAGGCAGAGAGCTGCTTTTCCCTGAATAACAAAGAAACTTAAAGCTGCACAGAAGCTGCTCTAGTAATCTTCTGGTTAATTTTTATTTGTAATTTCTAACCTGCTGTAAGGAGTCCTTGGAAATTTTGGGTTTGCTTTGTGGAGATGAAAGGCATACTTTATAAATCCCACATGTGTTAACTTGACCCCTCAAGTTAGATCAGTCTTTTGCATTATTTTGCAATACCCTTGCACAATACATACTTGAGGGACTAGAACAGGCAATTCGGAAAAAATGTTTGTTTGCTTTTCTTTGTGCAGAGTTGTGGTTTTCAGAAACAAGTATGAAAACCAGAGGCCTAGAGCCAAAATTCAAGCAATTCTCTTCTCTCTCCTACTTTCCTGCCAAATAAACAACAAAAAACAAGGGGGAGAGAAAGTGTGACGACAAAGATAATGGTGAAAGGGAGGCAAACATGACCTGATATCAATATCAAGTAATTGCACTTGGTTATATAGACTATTAAAGGTGAACTGTGGAAAAATGTGCTTGTGAAAGAAAAGTGTGGAGTTGCATCCCTGGTATAGTGTCCTGCCTGTAAGTTGATTTTTGTTTGTGGGGACACAACAAAAATAAAAAATAATCTGGCAGCCTTTTGTCAACCTTAAAACAGGGCTTTCTATGCCTTTATGACTGTATACGCTATACATCCTTAATTGTATCCAGCAGCTTTTCATTATCCATAGCAAAAAGTGTGTATCTCCAGAAGCTGGACATCCTCCCCCTGCCCTGTAAGCTTCCTGTGAAGTTCTTGGCTTCGTAATACCTCCCCTTGCTGTGTTCTTCCTTGCTAAGGGGTTAGCCAGCCCTGGACAGTGGGCAGAGAAAACTCTCCCTCAGCATACTAGTTTGCTGTGCCTTGCATAAACTTATTTTGAACAGTTGGTTTTATTTGCCTTCTGTTTTTGTCCAGAGATTTGAAATTAAAATGACTCTGTCCCCTCAGCAAGAAACACTGAGAGATTCACTTCAGTGACAGGCTGAGACACTACCCTTGTCTTTGGGCAATATTTAATATAGCTTCACTAACTAAAGGGTTTTCTTTTGGATTTTGTGGGGTGGTTTTTTTGGTTGTTTGTTTGTTTGGGGTTTTTTTAATAACCTGGAATACTTCACTGCTGTGAAGTGGCCTATTTGTAGAGCATACTGAAACTTTTTTTGGTATGCTTTTTATGATTGCCATTATTTACAAATGTTGGAAAACGGGCACAATTATTTCTTTGGAATTATGCAAATTATGCTATCTCAAAGGACACATAAAAAGATGTGAAACACATGTGTGTGTATGCAGCAAAGGGCGTGTGGGGAATGTATTCAAATACCTTGCCCACCTTCATAACCCTAGTAGGCATTCAGTATGGTCTTTTTCTCAGTGATTTTGTTTTTCTTCTAATAAGGGTTTGTGCTAAACTGACTGTTAACCCTGATTTGACTGGTATTTCTGTGTTCCAGTTGTACATGTATCAGCTGTTCCGGAGTTTAGCCTATATCCATTCCTTTGGGATCTGCCACCGGGATATAAAACCACAGAACCTCTTGCTGGACCCTGATACAGCTGTTCTAAAACTCTGTGACTTTGGAAGGTAAGCACATTTGTGGTCTGAAACCTGGTGAAGAGATCTTCCTTGATGCAACTTTGCCAAGAAATTCTCAGTGTCCCTTAGAAGGTTTTTATTTGTAGCTTAAAAGAGGAATTACTGCTATTCTATTTTCCCCCCAAAGTGAGTTCAAAGGAGTGGCAGGGAAGAGCTGGAAAAGGATGTTAAGAGGGAGGGAATTAAACTTCACACCTCTTATTTTTGCAGGTATTAGAAAAATGAAATAAATACACCATGACATAGGGAAAATACTGCAGCATGGAAAACCAGAACCAGTTATTGCAGTGAAGTGTATTTGGGCAAGAGAGGACAGGTGTGGTGGCATTGTAACTTAAAAAGGATGATGTTACACTAGTCAGTCTACTTGCACTTACAACAATTCACTTAATGTTGCAAATACCATAGAGGCTCAAAATCAAAAGCAGCACTTCAGTTGAAGCTCTTGGATAGTGGACATCTATGTTCTGGTTTCCTAAGGCACATTGATTTCTAATATCCACTCAGAATCACCTTTAGAGTCCAGCCCCTACCTTAGAACTGATACAGAAATTCTGGCAATCTACAGTGAGACAAGACGTAGATTTCTCTCTGAGAAAGTTCAGTCTTTAGATTGTGCTGTAACTTTGCAGACTAAAATAGTTGGGGTATATGTGTGAGAGGTCACAGAGGCTGCTGTTGCTAAATTTGCTTGCCCATAGTGAGTGGGAATGTCAGATGGGGGTTATTCAGTCAGGGCATCGTCGTGGCTGGTGCCTTGGGATCTCCTCAGCTCTACATCACCAGCATTGGGACAAAGTAGGAATCATGCTGAAGCTCAACACTGACAATGCATCAAGGGAGTACTTACTTACTATTTTTTATCAGTGGGAATTTGTTAAATGTAGTTTCTATATAGAAAACTGAAAACTGAGACACTTTAAAATGGGTGGTGGAAGTTCTTCACTGCAGGCTGAGAGGAGTGTCTGGAGAGCTGAACACTGGATTTGACTGGCTTGCAGTCAATTTTTTTCACATTAGTTACTATTTGGTGCTGTTTTGGTGAATGTCATATTTCCAAAAGGGCAGTAAGGGAAGTTTTGTCTTCCAGCTCCTTTTTGTCTTGCACTTGTTAATTAAGAAAGAAGTGTAATATGCCCATAGACTCACGTTCCTTAAGCAATGTGGTCTTGTGGCCCATTCTTTTCTTGGGTTCTTTCAAAGAGAAGTATTGAGGCAATACTGTAGGTTAGCCCCTCTATGGCTGATCGATTACAGTATAAGAGAAACCTTCATGTTAATTGTGGACCATTGACATGTGAATACAATGGCAAAGGCTTTTTGTTTCTTTGTCACTTCATACCAAGCTCCCTTAAGTAGCAAAGGAGCAGAATATTGTGATGGAAATTAAAAACCAACTGAACAAAAAAGCAAACTAACAAACAAAAACCCCAAACAGACAAAAATACCCCACTCAGTCCTTGTGAGTATCCAGAGCTTTTAAACCTTAAATGGTGGCTACATTTGAACTGTTTTCTGTCCTCTTTTCCACTGTAAACAAGCCTTTGTATCTGTCAAATGACAACTGGCAGCCTGTTTTTCACCTAGATTGTACTCAGAATTTCCTTTGCTGTCCCCAGTACAAGGAGATGCTTGATGGATTGGACTGATTTCACAGTGAATCAAGGAGTCAGTTTGAATCAGCTTAAAAGAATATTGTACTTCAATATTTGGGAATGGGGAGTGGGTGAAGAGTGCCAAAGCTTCGTGTTGGTGTGCACAGCAATGTTGTAGAAGTGTTCATGACTGAAATGCTGTTGTTTTCTTTCCAGTGCAAAACAGCTGGTTCGTGGAGAACCCAACGTGTCGTACATCTGCTCTCGGTACTACAGGGCACCAGAGTTGATCTTTGGGGCCACCGATTATACCTCCAGTATAGGTATGTGTGTGCATTTCATTGACATCTGTACCAGCTTGCATCAGTTTTTATCCTCTACTGTAGTGTAAAGGTTTCCAGAGATCTCAAATGTAATCCCCAGGGGCTGAATTTGGTTGTAAATTGTTAGGTACCACTTTTTAAAGAAATACAAGTGTTTTGTAGACAGCTGCTGTGCTTTCTACACATTTTGAGATTTCAGCATTAATTACACTAGGAAAGGGGCTTTTACAATGTAGAGGGGGGAAAATCTGATTACAAGTGGAAAAAAATTCCATGTAATGTTGCCATTTAGTTTAAAAATAAGTACGAGATCTCAAGCTAGAAAAGCATTTTTAGCAACTTGAAATGACTATAAAGAATGTCTGCAGAAAACCAGCTACTGTTTCTGATGTGCTGTAAAGACATAAATCTGTAATTTATTTACTTGGCTTTTTTAGTAAAGAGTTTATAGGGGGAGGTGTGACCTAATGATTGAATTAAATTCTCTTTACAACTTTAATTTATTGTGTACAGCAGTCCTTCTAATTCAGCTAATTCTGCTAGCTCTTACTGTCCTTTAGTCATTAATTTTGAACACAAAGAACTCTTTCTATATACCTGTCACATGGCTGTGTCATGGAGATACTAGGGAAGCTGGAGGTTTCATGGAGATCAGGAACAGCCAAGTTTTCTTACAGTAGATAACCAAAAATGAACAGCAAAATGAAAAATCTTGGAAATGAACAACAGTGTGTTGGCTGATTGTTGGTAACTACTTCAGATTTCCAGTCAAGATACTGCCCTGGGCTCCTTCTGAGTTCTAGTGCAAAAGAGAGCAGAATTGGCTCTCCGCACAATATTGGGGAACCTTTTACTTTGCTTATGGACTTGAGTCATTTAGGCGAGGTTTAATGTTTTCCAAAGGATTTTGAGATCATGATCAACTCTTGGTAGTAGTATTTAAACTCAGTATTTAAACTCACTATGTTTGAACTAGAGTGAAACTCAGTGGCTGGCTGACTTGTTTTAACTTTGCAGTTCCTAAAGAGGAGCAAAAAACCCCACCTCAGCATGTTCCTGAAGACTTCCCTGCTCTCATAAATTTTTTTCACATTATTTACTATTCAGTATGTATTGTAGCAACTCTTGCATATATTCCTAGTAGGAAAAAGAGGCAGAACCAAGAGTAGTCTGGGGAAAGTATGGCACAATAAAGATAGAAGGGCAGAACTTACTGTTGGCTGCTGCCAGAAGTGGCAGCCCCACCCCTGCACTTGTCCCTGGATACCCTGGCTCTCACAGTTTACTCTTTAATTTGCTGATTCAGCATCAACTGACAAGAAATTTTGGCAGGTTAACTTCCTGCTGTGTGAGTGACTGAGTGCAATCAGCAGTATTGTGCAGTCCAGTAAGCAGCAAAGCCCAGGTAAAAGCAAAGTGTTGTGAGCTCATGAGTGAGGGAAAGGTGGCTGATCCCATTTGACATCTTTTTGTCAGCTGAGAGCTAATAGATTGGCTCAGCTGCATTATCAGAGTGCACTGAGACCTCTTGTTTCAGAGGATAGCTGCATAAAATGTGTATTTTATGTGTCAGCAGGAGAAGCTGCTTTTCAGATAAGCCTGTGAAGTGTCTCTTGCTCCAGCTGCAGACCCTTGTTCAAATTGTGCTTTCCATTTTTGTTGTTTTACCTGCTGGTCTCTAAAATGGTTCTAATAAAAATTCCATTCTGAAGGGCAATTTTTCATTTGTCTTCAAAAATATCTTGAATTTCAGTCATTGTTCTGACTGTCTTGTGCCAAAAACCTCACCTGTCCCTCCAAGTCCTTTCTTTGAAATTTGCACTGAATTGCTTGAAAATTAAGTTAATACTCCTTCACTCCTTCCTGTCCTATCCACCTTCCTCTTCTTTCTTAGCAGTCTTTGGATTTGGGAGATGGGCAGGAATAAAATGCTTTTACAAGCTCTACAGTTTCCCAGTGTTCTGCAGTATGCTAATTTCTAAGGGTTAAGAAATTCTAAGAGTTAATTTTGTGGTGCTGCTGTTTGTACATATCCCTTAGTTCTTGCTGGTAGGCAGCAATGGTGCATAGTGAGAACTCTTCCTTATTTCACATGGGATTGTTCATCCAAACTCATCCAGCTTGTTGGAAAACCAATCAACAAGCATATAGGGATTTATTAAAAGAAGAAAAAGAGTATGTAATTATTAGTGCTTTATCCATAGCTCAGAGTGTAGGGAACTGTGAAATGCTTCAGTATTGTAATGCTGCCTTTTAAACTTATATGTTGGCATGCTTGGTTTTTTTAGTTCTTGTTTTTCTTGTGAGTTGTTAGCATAACAACCTTTTCCCACTATAGTCTTTATCACTTGGTAAGAATGACTTGTGTGTGTGGTAACAAAAAGTGAGCTTTACATGTAAGGCAGGGATCTTTATTCTCCCAGTTAAATATCCTCTAGTAAAACTGTGGTAAAAGTTAAATCAATGAAGAATACAAAGCCAAAAAGTGTTCTAAGTAGAAATTTTCCTACATTATCTGCAAGGCTCCAAACTGTTTTTTTGTGAGAGTTTTTGTTGTTTGTTAATGTTACTGCAGGGCTTATGATTATAATGCGCTGCAATAGGATAATGACTGGAAGGATTTCTGAGCAAGAAGTCCTTTTTAAGACTAGGCAGTGGCACTGGTGGCCCAGTACTTGACTGCACAGCCAGCTGCATTATGACAATGTCAGCTGTTAGTCATCTTGTTTAGCATTGTAACCAGGAGTTGCATTAGGCTGTCTGGCTTCATCCAGGTTGTCTTTAAACACATGAATTTGTCCTCATGACATTACTTGCTCTTCAGTGTAGCAGTTCATTCCAGGATGTGTCTCTTCATCCTGGATATCACGACAAACTGTGAACTGGCATTTAACTTCTAGGATCTTGATTGTTTCATTGAAGTGCATGACTTCAATTCTAACCCAAGAGGTCCCTTTAAAAAATAATTGAGCCAGGGATGTGATGTTAGTCACACTTCTGTAAAGTACCACATTAGTGCTGCATTTAAATACATACCATAGTAAGAGCAGCATCAAATCACATTTACTGCAGTTAGTGTCTTCAGCAAACCTGGGACTCTATTTTTAAAATAATGACCTGGGAAATAACCTATTAGAGTTCTTAAATAGTCACTGTTGCCAAATAGCTGCAAGTCCCTACCCATAATAGCAGTTATGTGACTGCATTAGAACTTTACAGGATTTTTCAGTGGTCAGGCACAAGTATTCATGTCAATTGGGTGCCTTCGTAGCTTGTACAGATTGGGCCTTTGTGCACCTTTGGCTATGAATTCTGCAAGTGTGTGTGTTTGTGTTTGTCTCTAAAGCTTGCTGGGAATGGACATAGTTTATTTCCTGCAGCTGATTTGCAGGAGTTTGTTGTTGGTTGTTTGGGGTTTTTTGAGGGGGGGGAAGAGAGGGAAGTGGGGGGCTGGTTTGTTGGTTTTTTCCAAACCAAGCCCTTCAGCTGTACCTTGAGAGCGTTTTGGCTGAGGTTTCTTCTTTGCCAGTCTGTGTGTGTTATAGCATTCCAGAGTATGTTGATGGCATGGTTCTGGCTGTGCTGGTCATATGGGTGATGCTGCTGCTGAAAAACCCTGGAATGGGTGCCCATGTTCCCCTGCAGTGTCCTGGGACAGGCACTGGAGTAGGGCTTGGATGCAGATGTTTCTGTGGCCTCGAGCTCCTTTTGTATGGAAAGAAGCTGAGCTTTGCCTCCATCTCATGTGGTTTTTCCCTAGGTGAGGTGACAGGGCAGGGGAGGACTCAGCAGATCCTAGTGGTGCTTCTGCACAATGAGGGACTGCTGCTCTCAGTGCTTTTGTTCCACCACTGCACTGGCAGGAGTTGGGACTGTTCCAGCCACTGTCAGGGAAAGATTGATCTGCATGACCATTGCTGGCTTCTCCTGGGGTGTCTGAAAATAAGTATCATCAAGTTGTTCATTCACGTTCCTAGCAAGCATGTGTTTCACCTCAGCAGTCTGGAGCAGAAGCTCCTTCTGCAGGTATGTGTAGTTGGCCTGTCTCAGAGTTTCTTGAGGAAGAACCACCACAAGGTGTGTCCCTGAACAATTGCCAAACAGTCAGAAGGATTTGCTTCTTTCTCAGATGGCAGCTTCCAGTGCTGAAAGTAAGCAGGTGTGTTAATTTACTGAACTACTCTGCCACCTGTCATTGTAGTTTCATCTCTTCATTGCAAGAGAATAGAGATACCTGTGTTTAGTTTTTGTTCCAAATACTGGAAAAAGCATGTCTTTCAAGCATTTTCATGTTTCAGCCTTACTCCTTCTCGTCAGTCCATGGATCTGTGGTGGCTTGATGTGCAAAACTTCTACCAACATACCACACCTGCCTGTAATCCTGAATTTTGCTCTTGTTCTGACATCCCAAATATTGTTTCAAACAAGCAGCAGTGAAAAGCACTTTGGGTCTGGCATTTGGCAACTAGAAGCTGTTGATTTTATGACTTCCCAGGGCTGCTTTACTGACTTTTGGTTTGTTTCCACAGTTTCCAGAGCAGCAGCTTTGAGTCACCTCCAAGATGGAGGAAGTCTATCAAGATGAAGGAATAGTGAGGCAGAGATGAATAGATGAGGGTAATAAAAAAGTAGGAAGGTAAATACGCCCCATAAAGCATCAGATAAATGGAAGTTCTTAATTTGTACTAAATGGATAAGAGAAACTGTCCTTTTGTCCCCCCCTTCCTCCTCCATGTCATCCAAATAACGAGTAAGAGGAGCTAGAGTGTAATTCAATGAATGGTGCTTCTGCTGTGAAGAAGAGGGCCAACTTTTCAGCTTGGAAAGGCAGAGTTTAAAATCAGAAAAAGTGAAATTTGTGGACAGGGTGTTAATTTCCAACTCAAAATGGCTATTGCACGCTTACAGAATTAAAGCTAAGGAGTGTATTTTGCACTGTTTCTCCTAAATGCCTCTTCCTGATTTAAAGATAAATACTTGTTTTCTTGCCTTCTGTAATGCTAGAATGCATTCAAAAGCAAGGGCATTATGAATATTATATTATTAGACATCGTCCATCTAACAGCTCTGAAGATCAATAAAGTAGTAGAGACTTAATTTAAGAAAATTTTTGTAGTACAAGAGGCTGTATGAATTTTTGTGTGTTTAAATTAATGGAGGTAGGTTAGGTGATAATGGTATTTGTCTAAGTGTTCTTTAGTCTAGGAAAGATATGGCATTAGCTACCATTGCAATGTGTGTCTACTATCTAAAATAAGCTTATTTGAAGGTTGCTGTTGCCTGGCAGTTATATTTATTCTCTGTATAGTTTAGACTACATTTCACTGAAGGTATGAAGAAAGTACCCTTGCCTGCTATCTTAATATGAATAGTTTTCAGTATTTTCTCCTAAAATTTCACGTTGTCCCAACTAGTTTGGCGTAAGGACCATTTGTTGATGTATTTTTCTTTTAAGATTCTCTCGTGTTTATTAGCTAATTTAAAGTATGTTAATGAGAGTCATAGATGGCTTTAATTAACTTGGCACATACTGAAAAAAAATAGTTCAGAAAATGCTTTTTCTCCCATGGGAGCAGGTAGTTACACCACATATTAATCTGTAGCAGCTAGCTCTGACTGTACTAAGACATAAAAGTCTCTGGGAAGGAACTACTGTAAGCTGATCACTTCCTTTAAGTAACATGTCTTTCAATACAGAAATTAGTACTTGTTTACTTCAGGCTTGAGGAAGAATTTTACCATCCTGGTGTGGTAGATATATTTTAAAATGCAAGATATAAAGAGTGTGGGGAAAAAAAAGAGCAAACTATCCTGGAACCAAATTTTAGTCAATGGCATAAATTCCATCAAGTTTCAGCAGAGATGAAATTTCTGAGTTTGTTCCTTATTGTACATTGCTTATCAAGAGTTGTATAAATACCTGTGTATATTGTTTTGTTTCTGTCCCTCCTTGGAGCTGCTCAACTTAGCCTCCACTCTCTGGATTTTGTTGAGGTTGCTTCAAGGATTTGTTCATTTCCTTGTCCAGGGAACATTGCCCAAGTCCTGATTTGGAAGTTGGTGAAATTACATGCCTGGAAAAAAGATGGAGATTTTGAAACGCCTGTGTTTTACTGCACTGTGTATTTAAAGTGTTAACAGGCAAAGTAAAGGAAAAGTAAATAGACTTTAAACAAGACATTAGATTGCCTAGGTTGGAAGATTTTCAGTGCATAAGGAGCAATAGGTTTCTGATGGATTTTGATGTATGTTTGAGGGATTAAACCCAGCATGGATGCAGCAAGTATTCCTCAGCCATTGCCACCTATTTCCTCATGACCTACATCCTTGCTTTTTTCCCTCTGTTCCCATGTGACGCCCTCAGCTTTCTCGTGTGCCCTCTGCTGTTCGTGCTTGGCTTTCTTGAACAAGGACCTGCACATTGTTTGGCTGGTTTGCAGCTGCAGTTTGGCAGGGCTGGGGAATCCCAGCCCTTCCCCAAAGGACTGAACCCTCCTCACCTTGGCACCAACACTGCTGTTTTTATAAAATTTTTGTATTGCATTTGAGACTTCTGCCCTACAGACTTGTCTGAAATAGACTGGTGGAGTGCAAAAGCATTTAGGGAAACCAGGAAAAGCAAAAACAGCTCAAAGCCAACTTAATGGAACAGTCAGACCAGAAGGTTATTTAAAACAGTTTGAAAAAGCCACAGTCTAATCTGAAGAAAGTAATGCTAGCATACTTTCAAAATCTTAAAAGGAAGTGAATTGTGATTAAAGACTTACTCTCCTGTCAGCTCTGTGTTTGTATATATTCTGTCAAATATTTGTCCTTGCCATATATAACATTTTCAGTGCAAAATAAGGATTTGAGTTGTAAATAATGATTACAGATTTGGTGTAACTACTTGTTTTGTAAAGGACATGGCTTACTTAAAACGCTTTAAAGGTATCTTTAAATAGAATTTTAAGTTATAACATTCTGACTGCTTAGTACATTTAATCTATCTCTTCGGTACCTCTGGAGAAATCTATCTGTTGAACAGTTATGTAATTCCTCTAAACCTAATATGCATGGGAGACACCAAAAGTGATGCTTTGCATCATGGTTTTGCTGGATGTATTGGTCCAACAGCAGGAGCTATCAGAGAGAGACATTGATTAGTTAGATGCAATTAAACGTTCTTTACATGATTCCTTCTTAGTTTGTTGTCCGGAAGAGATCTTAGCACCTCAGTGGCCATATCAGCTTTTATTAAATGTGACTAAAACATTAAAAAGCATCAACTTGTATGTTTGCTTGCTAAAATTCAAGACTCAAATGTCAAATTATTTCTGGTACTGTTTACATTGTAAGTAGTTACGTTTTAGGATAAACCCTGATGCAATATTTGTACCAAGACATTAGGTAAAAGTGCATCCATTTGATTTGGAAGTGAATAATTTAAAAAGCTGAAGTAATGACAGTGGTGTTAGTCTACAGTATGTTCCAATTGAACCATATTCATGAGGAGGGGAAGTATTTTTGCATAGCCTTCTCACTCATTCCTTTAGAAATGGGGGAATGAAAACTGTGTTTTAACCTGCTGATTATTTTGATATAAATCTTAAACTCCTGAAATTTTTATTTGATTTTATTTCGCACCACTCTGTGGTGGTTGTGACAAAGTGATAAGAGATGGCTTGGAGAGCTGTCAGAGATGTTTTCCTTACTCAGACCTTTAGCCATAACTGGCAGGGTTGTGTATATTCTGCTTTACAGTACCATGGATCATAGAATGGCTTAGGTTGGAACAGACCTTAAAGACCACCTTGTTCCAACCCCTTGCTATGGGCAGGGACACCTTCCACTAGACCAGGTTGCTCAGAGCTCCATCCAGGCTGGCCTCAAACACTTCCAGAGATGGGACATAGTTTAAATAGATGAGGGAGTAAGGATTTCTGTCATAGCATAGATTATCTCAGTGGAACAGATCTCAGGAGATAAATTCTCCTGGGGAACAAGGCTAGCTCATAAAAGTAGGTGAGAGTTCAAAGACATATGGGTGGAAGGGGACTGGTTTTCCTTTTTGGGGTGTTTCTTTGTATTCCAGACTTTATGGCTCTTCTGTTGCTGATTGCTTGTTTGAGATTGAATTTTAGTGTAAGGTTTCAGGTATTGATTCAACAATTGAAGACTTTCTAGAAAACTTTACAGCGAATCTATTTTTGGGGAGAAGCAGTTTTCTGCAATCAAGTACAATACTTCTACTGTGTTGAGCAGCTTAAAATTCCATTTATTTGCTGTGCAATTACATTAGATTCTCACAAACACTGATAAACAGTGTTTATTGCATTTGCTTTGTTAGATTTTTCTCTTTGGTTAATTAAATTCCAAAAATAAAATACTGTGTTCTGTAGTACACTTAGATACATTCCTAAGTTGCCTCTGTAATATTGAATTGCCTAATTATCTAAGAGGATATACCTGGAATAGATTATGAAAATTTTCTTCATGTAGGAGGAATAGCTCCTAAGGACTTCTTGAGGTTTTTGGTATACATACAAAAATTAGTTAAAGGCTTCTTCTACAAGATGCTGTTGACATGTGATCTGTGACTTGCAGTTCTGTTACTCATCCAAGTTGGCAAATGGAATTGGGATAAAGATTAGATCTTGAAGTGACTGGGTAGAGAGGCTGCCTCCCAGATCCCTTAATCATCATGTACTTCAGGATACTAGTAATACTTGCAGTACTGGTTCATCTGTCAGTGCATGTATGCTTACAATATATGTATGAAAAACTGAGTCGATTCAACACTGAGAAACAGTAAAAACATCAGCCACTGTGTTGCATGATACCTATTCGTAGTTCATAATCAATGTGATCTAAACCAACACAGGGAAATTCTCAATTTATAAATGGCAAGCATTTTATGGTCTTTTCCCTCCATGTGTAAGTTTTAATGTCAATATATTATAGCATTTAATGTGATTTTCCAGTTCTCATTGTCTCACAGTTTGACTTCTAAGACTGTCTGCACACTGTTGTTTTATACCAGGTATCTGGTAACATTAGGATAGGAATGGTTTTTATTTTTAGCTGTGTTGCATACACAATCAAACATGGCAAAGGATAAAGTAAGTAGCTTAAAATGGCTGGGTTTTTTATGAATAGCTTAATATGTATATTTTACTGATACCTTTCCCTGTCCTCCACCTTTCCCTTTTTAGATGTGTGGTCAGCAGGCTGTGTATTGGCTGAACTGTTACTAGGACAACCGATCTTTCCAGGTGACAGTGGTGTGGATCAGTTGGTGGAAATAATCAAGGTATGGAATCTTAAGTGTTGTTTTGACTGCATTATTCCTTGGGAATCAGTATGAAAACATCCACTGTTATAAACTGGTGAGCATACATATCTTCTGACATGATTGTATGGTTTTTGCATCTAAACAGTGTTTGAAAACACTTCTGCTATTTTGAGAACCTGATGATCTATACTTTCTCTTCTTGCAGTAATGCATAATGATATATACTGGGGCTTTTTCCCTCATAAAGGATTGCACTCCAGTGTGCTTGGAAAAAGTGCTTACTGGGACAATATTTATTAATGTATGATTTTCATTCTTTAGGAGTCTGTCTTTTTTTTCCTTTGTTGCACACAATTTATACTTGACTTTGAAAACAGTGTTGTTAAATTCCTTATGCCAGATTCTTCACATATGTAGTTGCCTTCTCTTCTTCCTTCCTCCTAGCTCTTTTAAAATTAAAGGTGGGAAAAGGCACTTGTTTTTGTAGATACAGAATCAGGACATGTAGGACAAAGGTACCTTTCACCTGAAGAGTCTTGTTTTTAAAGGTAAAATAACTAATGTGTCAAAATATGTAACACTTATATATCACTTATGTCCAAGCACATCTTGATTAATTTCATTTGGAAAGCAGTGAATATTCTGAAGTTCTCAAATTGGAGGCATGGAAGAATACTTTATAGACAGGTGTCTGACTTCCCAGCACCCTTGTCTACCTTTTTCAACTTCTGCAGTGAAGGAAACAAGATTTCCAGAGAGAACAGTATAATTTTCCTCTGAATATATACTATGCACATAATAAGGTGGCATTATGACAGAGGATAAGATGTGTACACATACTGTTCAGCTTTTTTGATTTCATCACCGTGAGGGCACTGTAGTAAGAGAATTTCCTCCTTGATTTTGCTACTTCCTTGATGCATAAATATTTGTGTGGCATGCATGTGAAAAGCCCCTCAAAACCCAAATTTGTAGGTGGAGAGCTTCCTACTTGTGTGTGTCATTGACTAGAACAGCTGCCGGTGTCTTTGTCCCTGTCCTAGCAGAGTGTATGACATGAACCAACATTGACTGGTCATTCTCCTGCCTGAAGGACATGGGCTGAGGCTCAGGGGTGTCCTGTGACATTTCTAGACTGTCACCCCATCTCTTCCAGGTTTTGACTACATAAACCTGGCTTCTGTTACAGTGAGTTTGTCTGTCCTGCTGGACATCCTTCAGTCAGCAGCTTGCCTCTGGAGACTCCATGTCTTGCACATACTCCTCCTGTGACTTTCTTGATGTCTTCTTATTGCATTTCTGCCCAGTGTATTTCAAACTCAGTTTATCCAAGTTGGGTCAGTTTGCTTAGGAAACACAAAAAAACTAGAGTTGCTTTCAGATGTAGGGCTGATGATGGTACAAGTGACAATATTTTTAACTTTTGAGAAATGTCTTGGAGTGGTGTCCTGCTTTTTGCTGCTTTTGTGACATGTGAAGGGGTCCACGTCAGATGAGCAGACCTCCTCAGGATTTTGTGTGATAATGTGTGGTATTTGATTTTGGACATTTCTGAAAAGTCCTGGTTTGTTTTTTAATGAATGTCTAAAATCCTGAAAAACTAAAGCTAATCAAAGAATCAGCAAGATTGAAAAAGACCTCTGAGATCAAGTCCAACCAATGACCCAACTCTGCCATGTCAACTATACCATGGTGCTAAATGACACATCCAGTCTCTCCTTAAACCCTTCCAGGGACAGTGACTTCACTACCTCCCTGGGCAGTCCTTTTCAATATCTAATCACCCTATCTGTGAAGAAATGCCTTCTGATGTCCAGCCTAAACTTTCCCTGCTGTCCACAAGAAGAGCCCAACCTCCACCTGAATTTTTGTAAATAGAACTTTATATCATGGTGACTGTTCATGGCTTGATCAGAAATCTGAGTGTAGAGAGACCTTATTGGCAAAACTGTAGTTCTCTGCCCTACCATTGCTTTGATTCCACAATGTGAAAGCAAAATAACGAGGAGATAGATGGTCTCTTATTATTGACATGTTTGGCAAGAGAAATTTGTTGGTTGAAAGTTTGCTAAGAAGCTGTTAACATCAGTTCTGCACTCCTGAAGAAAGCATCAATGAGCCAGTAATTTCATAGCACATATATTCTCCAATTGTGACACTTTTGTTTGCACTTCAGTTGTATTGAAGCAGAGGAGTACTTCAGTAAAATTGCTGAAGTAAAATTTCAGTAAAATTGTACCTCTGTGGTGGTAAATTTCTTGACTAACTCGTAGTGACGATATATAGTACTGGCAAACTGATGATATTTCTCAAGGCAACTGAAGGAGTACCCAGTTTAAAAGGTATGTCAGTAAATTACAGATTGAAATGATGATACTCACCCTCACAGAAACAAACTTCTGACAAATTTCTTTAAATATAGAAATGGGGATATTTAGTGACCATTCACGCCTGTGTCGTGCTGGGATTTTCTCATCTTCTATTACATATGTAGTCCACTACAGACAGAAGTGAAGTGAAACAAAATGTACTGAGGCAGTATGTTTTAGGAAAATCTGGGGGAAAAATACTGTAAATCTTACAGCAGTAATCACAAAAAAGGATGTTCACTGAAACTTGAAGAAAGTGTAATGTAAAATGTGAGCCTGAATGGGTGGGTACTGTGTTCTTCTGACAGTATTTGTTACCAATGCAGCATATATTCTGAAGGCAAGACTGGAAGAGAAGCTGAGTGCAAACTGGAGAAATGGGTTGCTTTTCAGTGCCCTTGTCCCCCTAATCTTCTGTTGTGAAGTTTTTACAAAACTATTCAGAAAAGCCCTAGCAGAAGGTGAAGGTGGGAATACAGAGAAAAGTTATAATTGAGACTGTTGTGTTCAAGATCAACAGCTGTGAGAAATTGTCTAGGAATGGGATAGCAAGGTGCTTCCCTTGTAACACTGTATCCATTTACAAGTATTTCTCATGGTGGAAGTAGAGGGAAAAAGTGTATTTACCTAAAATTTTTCCTCACCTTTTGAAAATGGGGAAAAAGTAGAAAGTGAGGTCAATTTTTTTCCATTCTGCCAGCTGTTGGGAGGTATCTGTCCCATCTACTGTGTATCTTTTAAAAATGACCAATAATCGAATTAAGAAGATGGAAACATTCTGCTCTTAGCACTTCCAGAATGGTGCTTAAACTCAACTCAGATTTGAAAGGATGGTATAAAAGAAGCAACCACATGAGTGAGTTTGTTTCATAGCCTCAGTATGGTTGAGGACATGCAATTCTGCAGCATAAAAATTATCAGAAATGCTAAATCTTGGCACAACATGTAAAACGTGATGTTGTATAAAGTTTCCTTTAGGGTGGGATTCATTAAAAAAATCTGACAGATGGCATCCACCTCTTCCATTTGCTGCCATAGAAAATTGGTATTTCAAGCTTTCATTGTAACACAGACTTATTTTAATGCTAGCTGGCTGTGGGAGGAGCAGAGCTGTGGGATCTGACAGTTGTAGAATAGCAGTGAGCTTGGTAGAAACTTGCAGGTTGGAACCTGGGAGCTGCTGTTTGACTATCTGGGGTCCTGCTTTTCAGATAGCTTCATTGGAACTGTGTGTCTGAAAGTTAGGGGCAGGGAAGATGGTGTATTTTAAATTTCTAAAAATGGGCTATAGTAAGAAGATACTTGCTCACACGTTTGGAAATACGTCAGACTTTCATCCTTTCTATTTGATTGATTCCACTGCAGGAAGAGGTCAGCTTAGAAGCTTTACTGCTAGTTCTTATCAATTCAAGATGATTGAATCACAGTTACACTTGAGGAGGTTTTTTTTGAGCCAAGATAAACCTTTCAGTTTTCTCTTCAATTGCTTACTCAGCTATGATTATTCAGAGTTTATTTCACAACACAGCAAGTGAATGCTACACCTGGCTGTGAAGTTTTTTGCATTAGACTGGATAATGACTTCAAAATGCCATCACATTAAATTAGTTCTCCTTTCTCATGCAGTTCTTGATGACATCCTCTCTTTAGCTGTGTTCATGGTGATATATCAGTTGGCAGAGTTTGCCCTTCCTGCAGGCCATATGCTCAACATCCTCAGTCCCTTGCTGCATCACAAGCATTTTTGGCTTTTGACAGATTTTGAGACACTTTCAATAGGCTTAATGTAGTTTCATTTCAAGCAGTCTTGCAAGATCTTCTCCATATAATTGCACCTGGAGTTTTTCCAGACCTACTGTGTATTTGCAAACTGCTCTGAAAAACTGTGCCCCTCTAGAACCACAGCATCACATTCAATTGCATCAAAAGACAGTCCTCTTTTAAATTTTTTCCACTTGTTCCTATTTCTTTAAATATGGTCTTTCCGCATGTTCTCAGTCTGACTGGGAAAGAGAGATCTTTGACCACTTTGGTGACAAAATGAGATTTGATATAGGGGAGTACTGTCTTGGAGCTCCATCTGAAGAAGTGGTTTAACCCAAGTACACTCTTCTTGAATACTTATGCTATTACAGGAGAGAAGTCATGTGCTTTTTCCAAACTTTGATCTTGAATGGTGATTCTTACTTTTTTTTTTTTAGCTCTTGCTTGCTATCCCAAATGTTAGGTTGTCCCATCGCGGGGAATATCTCAAGTGGGTAACCAGATATACTCATTAAAATTCATGCCCCTACTGGCTTTCAAGTGACATCTCCTTCAGAAATGTACTCAGTTTCTGAAACAGTCAGTGGCGGTAGTGTGGATTTCATCAGTGATCCCATAAAGAAATTATGTACAATTAAACACTATGCCTCAGAGCAGTCTTGCAGCCTTGTACCTGATGGATTCTTCCAGCAGCCCAGGAAGGTGGCAGTGTCCACTTCACTATTTAAAATCCACTGTGCAAGTGGGACCCTGCTGAATACAGTTTGAAAGAAGGAGCACTTAGACAAAAAGAGTGATTTTTCTTTGAGATGCAGTCAGGACAGACTCCTTCATTGATCTCCAGTCTCTTGTGCACAGCTTACAGTGCAGCAGTGGTGGATGGGA